CCTACGACGAAGTCGTGGACAGGTGGCGGAATTCTCGGAAAGTCCGTTACAAAACATTTCCTGTCCTTGTAAGCCCATTAAAGTTTGATCCATTAGTCTTTGAAACGTGGCTGGGGCATTTTTTAATACGTGTAAACTCGTAGTGACCGTAAGCGGTAGAAAAAGCAGTTTTCTCTCTATCTTCTTCGTGCATGTGGATCTGATGAAAACCCGAAGGGAGATCAAATACGGAAAAATATCTTGCTCCTCCTAATTGGTCTAAAATTTCAGAGATTTGAGGTAATGGGTATGCATCACCGATAGTTTTTTCATTAAATGCTCGAAAATCTATTACAAGCCGCCATTTTCTATTTCCCTGTAAATCCTTCTTTTTGGGAACTATCCAAAGGGGCAAATTATAAGGGGATTTAGAATTTTTTATTATTGCTGCTTCTAACATAGCTTTAGTTTGATTATTTATTTCTTCTTTATGGATATGGGGGTAACGATATTGTTTAGTATTCATCGGTAATGGGTCGGTCGTTATTATACGATGAATCATTGTGTGAGTAGCCCCTAGGGGTTCTCCAAGTATATGAAAAGTGTCCTGAGTTTCGGATATGGGGGAGAGCATTTCTGTTTTTTCTTCATCGATTAAATGTTCGAATCTTAATAGATCCCTTAATTTTTCGAAGCGATTTGTATTTGAAGATACAACACACAAGAAATATGATAAGCGATATGTTTTTTATTCAATTCTTCATAGGCTTCTAATGTAACGGGAGAACTACGAATCACTGCTGGCCTCTCATTAGCGTTAATTGCTTCTAAATATATTCTACCATCATAATTTGTTACTAATGCTTCTCCCAAAAATATTTTATCGCCCAATGGAAGTTTCGGTAAATATCCTGTTGGTGGTGAATCAGGAGTTGAAACAAGAAATATTGACTTTTTACTTCTTGGGAGCAAAATAATTATATTTTCCATGGAAAATGCAATTTCTTCATCTATTAGATTCAACGTTTGTGTCGTATTATTTATAGAAGCCATATGCGCTATTAAGGGTGTACCGAGTATTCCGTCTTGTTGGGTAGCTAATTCGTTCCCTACGACGTGAAAAGTTATTTCAGTGCCAAATATCGGAAAAACCACGGTTCCTTTTGTATAAAGGACATCCGTGCCGACGCCATTTATTCGGCAGACACGATCTTTATTAATTTTGCCATCCGGCATTAGAGCACTCTCTTTAATTATATTTAGCTCCGCTCCTCTGTCTATCATGAGGGTGAATGGCCTTATCTGATTTTTACGTTGGAATGTAACAGTTGGGTAAAAAAGTGATTCTTTTTCTAAATTGTGAAGAGAATGGGTTCTGAATGTATCGCGTGACTGCGATTGGTAAGGGTCGCACAATTTGCCACCTTTGCCTCTGAATGCGCAACGTTGAGGGACGGTTCTCGTTTCCCGATTTTGCATTTTGACTTTCCCTTTCACGTTTATGTTTATCATCGAGCCATTTCTTTTTCCGGTATTCTTGGATTGTATGACCCTTATTTTTACAATGTGCGCAAAAACAGGCTTAGCTGGGAATCCATTCTTAGCAAAACATCTATCAATAGTGTAATTATTTTTCTTACAAAATGTGCAATATTTTTCTTCAGCAATTGCATTTATTCTGGGATCACGGTTTCTTTTTCCACGGTTTCTGTTTTTGCTCGCGTAAGTTTTTCGTATCCATGTAGTTCGTCTCTCGCCGCCTTTTCTTTTTCCGACTCGATAGCATCTTGTATGACCGAGTCTAAATCTATGCATCGATAAGGGCTTACACGAATTACCTTCTTGAGACCGCGTGCAAAGCAACGAATCGTTTCCTGTTCAGTATCGGTTTTAAAACTTGGTTAGGCGCCTCCACTCCGAGAGTACGCTTTAAAAATACGGTAATTAGGTAGAAGAGCACCTCCTACTCATTCGGGATACTGATAGGTAAATATCAACTTTTTTATATTGAACTTGAAGTAATTTGACGTATATTTTGTCGGAACCTAGTTGCAATAAATGAATTTAACCTCCTTTGAGCCATCACACTTAATAACGTGGATGCTCATGTAGATGTACGGGACTTCCCTTTCTGCGCTTTCCCTTCTAAAAGCTGTTTATGAAATTTCAATTATGAGGTGTTCATATAAATTCAACGTGTAGTGAAGCACTTATTTTTCAAAGTATCAAGCCTCACCAGCACTTAGCATTACCCAGGGTTCGCGACGGGGACGCAGCTGGTATGAACCCCACAAAGGCCAAAATTTGATTCAGTCACCCCCTAATTGAGTCCGACTCAATTTTTTTCCTGATTTCAATTTCTATTTGTATTGGATGACGAAATAATTCAGCTTCCTCGAAAAATTCGTTGGAGTTGCTATATTAACACATGACCAAAAATACTCTACATTAATTTTCAGGCAGGGGTGCCATAAACAACGATAGATTCATTTTCCAATTATACTAATCGGCCTAGTTTACCCTGGAGTTGGGCTAAAGACTCTGACGATGCAAATCAATTTGGTAAGAAATTTAACAGAGCATCAATCGACTGAAATTGTCGAACTTGAATTACATTTTTAGCAGGGCCATGAAGTTTATTTCTGATTAATTTAGTCAGATTGGCTTCCATTGTAGAATCCGCCATATTTTTAGCTTCTTTGTATGTTTCGGAAAAACCCCAAAAGAGGAGGGGAGACCGTCAAATATGGGGACAGCCGACAAAGCATCTTGAAGCGTAACCATTCCCCCATGAGTAACCATAAACGGGCCAGATGTCACAGGTATTGTTTGATAATGATCTGGAAATGAGGGAGGAACATCGGGCGGTTCCTTCCTTAATTGCTTCGTTTGAAAATGAGGTGCCTGTTGACGTTGGTTGGTGCTGGTGAATTGATGATTATTTTGACTAAATGGAGGGGCATGACTATCCATGACGGGTGGATGGTCAATTGATGAAAAGGAGTTTGCGACATCCTTACTTGGAAATGAATAAAATACATTTGTGTATTTTGGATGTTGATAATTGGATCCTCAATTGAATGTGTTATCCGTGGAGGAAATTGGAATAAAACCACTCGTATAGACGGGTGGATTATTTGAGAATTGTAAAATATATGAATTTGGATAAGTTGAAGAATTAAGAATGGGACGTTTGGTATGCCCGGGATGAAAAGTATCCAAAAAATTTGAATAAGCGTTAAAGTAAGAGACTCTGGATAAGCTTTGCCTATTTGCTCGTATAATTTTATGAAGCACACCTGCGCGTTATATTTGTTACAAAGCGTCTGGTTCTGAACGAATGTATGTTTTGCATGCCTTTAATTGTTCCCGGGGAATGTTCTAATTTTTCGTAATTTATCAAGAAATTTTACGTTATCCAATAAAGATTTCGGATCAATATCAGTTTCAATTAATTTTGGAATAGTCCCCGTAGGTTCAGTTACTTTGGCTGTAGAAATAGTAGATGGTAATGAGTTCGAAGTAATAACTGAACAGAGGAAATCGGTATTACTATTAGAGGTTGATATTGCCGAGGCGTCTTCCGTGCCTATGGTATTATTTTCCGCAGTACTCAATGGAAATGTCCCGTCATCGCTCAACGTCCCGATGGGTGGAGTACGTACTAGTGTCATTTCCGCCTCTACTTCCTTTGTTTCTAAATCGTTTAAACTCTGGGTAATTTTTTTATTCGGTTTTTTATCTTTTGGTGTAAATTGTTTACCACTACGCGTTAACATAATCGTTCCCTTTTAAAAACATAGAGTTATTCAATTAAAAGGTGACTCAATTTCGCGTAAACCCAGGGTGAAAACCGTCGGAGGAAAAATAGGAAGATAGAAAAGTACAGAAATAGGATAATGAAGGGCATAAATACTTACAATTGGTTGATCGAGTTTAGGGGAATCGGACGGACTGCTCTGTGGTCGAGTTGAGTCTGTCCGTTCTGCTGGGCTCTACGGAAGAGTCCTCAGAGGTTGAAAGGCTGGCAAGCCGAAGGAATGGCCGATTTCGATGAACGGTGAGATAATGGAATATTATCGCCTCAGGTTGGAACCTTAGTTGACTCGTTCTGATGAAAGGGACCACTACTTTGTACTGGGAGTATGAGTTTGAACAGCGATTCTGGAGACTTCTGGCTATAACTTCGAGCTTCGGACTGTTGACTCTGAACTTCAAACTGCGGACTGTTGATAATATCCTTCGAACTGCGGATTTCTACCCTCCGAACTGACTGTTTCGCGTCGCGGCTCCCTTTTTATATTGATTCGAAAATGTGTCATCAGGGGTAGAAGGTTCTAGAAACTTCCCCCTATTTTTACCATTGTCTTCTCCAATTATCCGCCTAATTATTGGATTTCTTTGGATATTATTCAGGGATTGGTTGTGACATTTCTCCTATCCCTTCGTGGAGCCCGTTGATTGGTGATTAGGTGACATTAGGCCCCCTCATTTTCCGTATGAGCTTGCGTAGTTTTTCCCAAATTTTGTGGAGGGGATGGTCAACCATCTGTTTCCCCTAATTAACATGAGGACACGAGAAGACTATCCTTCGTTCTGATCTCGCCCCCTGATAAGAGTCGTGTCGTAACTCGTGTTTATTTTTAGGCACTTTTCCCCTAATTGAAACGTAACAGCACATTTCCGCCATATGATCGTTCGTCCAGTTAAGTCACCCGCAAAACCTCTTAAACAGTGAAGATCGATAATAGAATTATTTAATGATCCTCATACGTGCAGGGTACGTAACAACCGCTTTCAGACATATTTGGAATAATATCTCTGAAATGAGTGAATTCAAAGGGGAATGTTGAAATTACTTTTCCGATCCCTACCATCCAAGGAGGACATCCACAATAATCCTCAGATTCAGTTCATTGCCAACAAACATCTGAAAATTGTCAAGGGTATTTCAGCCATTGCATAACAAATTTCAATTACATATATTAATGTTCATTTTCTTTTATCCCAATGGTACGCAGCCGGAGTTGTACAAGAAGGATTTGACGAGGCAGGAGAGTACCGAGAGCTCCAGCACTGTAGAAATGGAATACGCTGGCAAGCTTCACTTTGCACTGAGATACGACAAGGAAATTGATGGACTACTTGTTAAGGTAATATCATTTTTTCTCTATCACCAAACGACGCGGGGTTTATTGCAATACTTTTAACTTTCCGGGATGGATCGGGAAATTGTAGTAGTGACCGTTAATGTCCCAGTTATTGCCATTGGCCCAGTTTCTGACATCCGCAAGAGTCTCAAATGATTTTTAAAGTTTGGCAGATATTATTTTAACTGGTACATTCATATTCTGTATTATCCCCGGGCTGTTTTACTCGGCCAAACCTTGAATGTTTTAAGGTATATCCCAAGACAATCGGACCCAAAAGTTAATCCCTATGGATTTTCTGAAAAAAATTTAAATAACTTAATTTACTGCATTCTCATAAGTTATTGAATTTTTCTATTCTCATGTGTTGTTGATGCAGGCAAAAATAATTGTTTGAAACACAAGAAATTATTTGTTAATTAATTTTTTTAACCGCATAAGGAATGGTTTTACGGAATTTTCATTCTGTAGAGATGAACTGGGGGGCTATGCCCCCTGCTCGCTCCACTCGCCAACCCCGATTTGATGCCCATATGACCATCAAGATCCTTATTCAGACTCTTGCGACCCTTAATATGACCCTCGTGACCCTTATAGTGGGCCTCATTATACCCTTATACTGACCCTTATTTTAACCATGGTGATCCTTAATCTGTTCCTTGTGACCCTTACTTAGACCTTTAATCTCATCCTTGTGATCCAAACTTTCGTCACCAGAAGTCGATTTGGATTTTTATAATACAGAGAGATATATTGAGACCCTTATTTTGACGCTTGTGATCCTTAGTTTCTGACCCTCGTGACCCTTACTTCACCCCTTAATTTAACCTTTGTAATCCTTAATCGACCCTTGCGACCCTTATTTGAATCCTTAATCTGACCCTCATCATAACCCTCATAACCCTTATTTTGACCCGCGTAACCTTTATTCTGGCCCGCATGGCCCTTAATTTGACCCTTGCGACCATTAATCTGACCCTCGTGATCCTAGTTCTGTCTCTCATGACCCTTACTCTGACCCTCGTGACCCTTATTCTGACCCAAACAATCTGGGAACTTAGGGACAAAATATTTCTTGACGAACTTTTCTCTATAAAAGATATTTTTATCCGGAAAAGACCGTCTTCTATGAATGATCCGCCTCTTGAGCCACAAATGCTTCGTTGATGTTAAAAGCAAAGCGATTATTCACGTTTGAGACTTTTAAATTCGAAGAATGAAGAATGAATCTTTCAGTTCCTTCCAAATGCCCGGTGGCTTGGCGCAGTGGATAAGTTCGTTGCCTCACATACGAAAGGTTCCGAGTTCAAATCCCGGCCGGGTAGAATGGTGCGATCTAACCATTTAAAGTCTTGATCATCATCGCAGTATACCCTAACCGTGTCGAAGCGATGTAAAATAACGATTAAAAAAAAATCCTCCAAATTAATAATAAATAAACAATCATCTCATATTAGTCGTGAATTTTCCTTGGTGAACTTAATTGTTAGCTCGCCTGTTCGATATATCCTTGAAATAGTATATTACGTGCTAAGGCGGAGAAGTGCTGAATTCAACGCCGAAGCGCGTATACTATTTTTTATTGCGAAAAGCCCGTGGGGGTTGGGGGTGGGGGTTGGGGGTGGGGGCGTGGAGCGGGGTCCAGGGGGCGCAGCCCCCGGCGGGGGGGGTTGGGGGTTGCGGAGCCCCCCCCACTGAAGAAAAAACAAATTGCAAAAGAAAAAAAAAATCAAATGCAATTATCCAATTACCGTTGAGAACCCAGTGAGTCAGAAAGGGTCACCTGGGTGTAACACAAAACCTTTTCCCCCGGACGAAAGAAAGAAAAGATCGGTGAACGATAAAAAAATCTGTTCCAGTATTATCCTACGGTATGGAGGCAACTCCAGTGACTCTAGCTCTCAATAGCACAATAGTCGCTGAAACATGCGGTGCGAATTTCTGCAAAGCCAAGGCAACAGAGAACCCGAACCTGGCGCCACCCCCAGCGGAAAGAATTCACTTGATATCGGGAATTTATCTCGGTTGTATGGTCCTGGCATCTCTGATTGTTGCTTTCGGAGTAGATTCTCTGTCGAGGTGAATATATTTTTGTTTGATCATTGGTACACGGGGTGGAGGAGTGGAGGGGGAATACGAAACGACCGCATTTCTGCGCTAAACATCAACAGTTACGAGATATATTTTTGACTGGTTGAGCTATAAAATCCAGGCACTGGGCTGCAGTCTGACAAAAAATGAGTAAATCGTAATGTAANGAATTTTTTTATGCTCTGGTAAGATAATCACTGACAATTCATTAACCTGACGGAGACTTTCCATCACAAATTATGCGTCAAGTCACACATCTCAAAAATAACGATAATTTTGCACTCCCAATGCACCAGTACCAAATGAACTGAAAAAAGTCCTAATGGATGGAAAAAAAAAGATAATAATTGGATGAAAACTACAAAACCCACTTTCTCATCTCCAACTTCTTCAATATCATGACTGAATTAAACTCTTCAATACTTTCCTCGAGTATGCACAACTCGAGAGCAGATTTATAAATCGATGATTGGAAAATGTTCATAATAGAATTGGAGAAAAAAGTTTTATGAATTCATTTGGTGTTAATGAATTGAACGAGGGAACGAGGGGAGGGCAGCATTCAAAGGGGTTTCGTCAAGGAGATTGGAGTGTGGGTGTTGAAACGAGCACAGGCAATACAAATGATGGAAACTGTATTGCCTCGTCAATCTGCTTTTGTCGATGGCACTATTTACACATGACGTTTTGTGCGCCAGTTTAGCTATTCAGTGTGAAATTATGTCCCGTCCTACATTGACGACGTTTATGATGAATGCCAGGCGTATGTCCTTCAAAATTCTGAAGGAAATCAATATTGTTGTAATGCCAGTTGATTCATAATGTCGACCCTGATGAAATGATACGTATTTTTCTATGCAATGGAAAAAGGGATTTGTGCTGTTGAGGCGAGTGGATTTTATTTGAATTCAATTGAATGAATGTGCTATAAAATATTGTCAGGGCTTCATTCTCGGTTATTGGGGGAAATTTGAAGCATTGTCACTGTTCAAATTTACGTTTTGGATTTTTCGTGTTATATCGACCCAATATGATCCAAAAAGTCCGAAAATGCGAAGTGCGTATGTATGTAAACAAATTTGTCTTCGATTGTTCGCTAATGAATCGTTGGATTTGAATCTTTTTTTCTTCAAATATAGACATTTCGGAGCCCTATCGATCGCCATTAATTAAAATTCAGTTCATTTTTTATTTTTTTTTAATTTCTTCAATTTTTCAAAAATAGATTTTTTCACAATAACTAAAAAAAATGTACTCAATTGATTGAATGATGGCTTAAAAAAATTGTGTTTATATGCCTTTGAATGAGTTCGAAGATGAAGATAGCAATAATCGTTATTTTGATTTGTTTTAAAATTTGCAAAAATTCTGTAATTTTTGAAAATCAGAATTCCCGGGATATTTTTGGATCTTATGCTTTAAATGAGTTCAATCATAGCTTAAAATGTTTGTTTTGATGCCATAAAGTCGAAGTTAGAAGATGATTACGATAGCTATATTGGTTGATTTGATTTTTATGATGATTGTGAAAAATTTTTAATTTTTCATGAATTTCCCTGATAGTGAGCTTTCTGATGGTTTTTTCAAATGTGATATTTCAAATTCATTCAATTATATATAAATAACATGTTTCTGATAATATTTTATCGAAGAACTGAGGGGAGAGATAGAACTGTGAAGAAGACTGGAGAATTGGTTGTATATGAGAAAGGAATAATAAGAATAATGATGATGATAACTTTTACCTAAATTGAAAATGTGACAAAATTAGTTGAAAAAAAATCTCATTTTTCAGGTTCAGTTTAAATGATTCATTGAGTTTCTAATTAATATCTCTTTTTATTAGATTTTAATTTCAGACTGAAATTATTTTAGGCGGATTTAAAGGGAGAACGACATGGAATTTGAAAGTTCCTTCATGTTGTCAGAATGAAATTGAAAGTTCTCGGTGTTTATTAAGGTCTTCAAAAAAGTGGAAAGGAGCAAACTCCGAAGGGTTTTAAAGTAGCTCTACCTTTACGGTAAATTCAAAGATTATTGAAGACTACAAAAAAATTGCAGAAAACTCGATTAGATTCGGAATTCTAATTTTTTTCTCAATTTAATTATCGTTTTGGTTTTTCAAAGAAGAAATATTTAAAAATCAGGATTTAACCCAGTGTCTTATGTGAAAATCAACATTTCCATTGCAATCAAAGATTAAAATCTGATTTTTTTTTCATTAGATGTGAAAAAATCAAGAATTTTTTTGACACCTCATAAAAAATAATCCACCGTTTTGCAAACAAGTTTTATCATTTATTTATAAGAGGGAAATGTTTGAAAAAATATCAATATTTTGCAAAATTTAATTTAAATAATACTGGCTGAGTATGAATTTTTTCAAATTTTTTCCATGCAATTTAGTTGAAAAATTTAAAAACTGAAAATATCCTAAAGTACAGCGTAGCTCGGCCGAAGGGTAGAGCTACTCTAAGAATATTCAAGTAGTTTGGCTATTTTTTCACCAGTGAATTGCTTTTCTACTTTTGTAATCGAACATCAGAGCTTTTGACCCTATGTTTCCAGACATTTTACAATGATTCTATTATTTAAACTTTGCAGGTCTGAATTTGAATTTCAATGTTGAACTGTTAGAAAACAATTTAAAAATCTGGAAAAAAATAGAAAGTTTACTTTTGGTGGATGATTGATGGAATAACTTGAAAGTTACAATTTTTGAAAATTACGAGCATTTTTTATAACAATTTCATTGCAACAAAAGATTGATTGTATCATCTTTTGTTGAAAAAAATTATTTTGAAACCAATATTCAGGAAAAGGTAAAAAAATTTAATGTTGGGGCAATATTGGTTACCAATGTTAAGGTAACGTAGGCTGCCAACGTTGGGGCAACGTTCAATGAAAGTTAAAATACATCGTCATAGAAGTTCCGTTCAAATTGAAGCAAATTGCGAATTTATTACCAAAAAAAGACGATGTTGTGAGGGAAGCAATTTCCCACTTTTTCATCTTTTTCCTTCACTCTTCAATTCTTCCTACATTTCTGCACAATAGGTCTTGGGAGCGAGGGAACTGCCCATCAAAGATGTAACTGGCAGTAGTGATCCTTACGTCAAAGTACATCTCCTCCCGGACAGGAAGAAGAAGTTTCAAACCAAGGTCCATCGAAAAAATTTGAATCCCATTTTCAACGAGACCTTCATCTTCAGGTAACAGCTATTTTCGCGTGAACACTTGGAATTGATCCCGCAATGAAGAGCGAATAAATTTTTTTTTATTTCTTGTCATTTAGCGTTCCCTATGACGACTTGAGGGAGCGATATTTGCAGTTTTCCGTATACGACTTTGATCGATTCTCCCGACACGATTTGATTGGACAGGTTGTACTTAAGGGACTGTTGGACTGCACCACCTTGGAGCAAGAGATCGAATATACGATGGATATACTCTGTGCAATGCAGGTATGTAATTTCCAAGTCAGTACACCTACGAAAAAATCGTATAGAAATTTCCTATACGGATTGCGTATAGAATTTCTATAGGATTTTCGTATATATTCGGATATTTCTATACGGGTGTTTTTCATACAAATTATTTCTATACCATTTCTATAGGTTTGATCCTATACGACCCACTGCCACATGTATAGAAACATTTCGTATGGAGTTGCGATATTTCTCTACGTTTTTCTCTGCAGCGTTTAGACATCTTTCGTATAAAAACAAAAATTCATGTAAAAATTTATGTATAGAAATAATTCGTATAGAAATATCCGAATATCATATACGGAAATCCTATAGAATTTCTTTACGCAATCCGTATAGAAAATTTCTATACAATTTTTTCATACGTGTACTGGAGGGTTGAGGGGACTGAACTTGACCAAAATCGTTCATTGAGAGGGAAAATTAGTCAATTTATCACGTTCAATTAATTCCGTGGCAATTATTGTTCTGGTGAGAAATTTGTGTTTTGATTGAACCAGCGTCTTGAACCCTTTTTTCCTGTCAGACTCGATATTCCTTCTTTCAATTAATTATTTATAATCATTCTCGTTGCAGAAAGAAATACGACTGATGAGAATCATGTCCCAATTTATCAGCTGTTAAATTTTCATATTACAATAAATCATTTGTTCATATTCTAATTCCTATGCTCACGGAATGAGATTTTAATCATAATCAATGAAGATGCTTGTCTAGAATCTCACCCGCTCTACAGCGGCGCACTATAGGTCGCGTATGGATTAGCGGCACTGCGCCCATTGTGCGACCACTCGAGGGTTAAAAATTAAAACTTGATTTGGAATATTGACTCACAGCTCTTTTTAATTCATATCAGAAATTTTTGGATATTAATTTCAATATTAATATTATGCGTTCAAAGTTAAAAAATCGATCATCATTTTCACTATATTACATGCAAATTTTCCTATCCTTAACATTAAATTAGTCAGTTTTAATTGTTCTGGTGAGAAATTTATGCCTTTTGAGTAAACTAGCGTCTTGAACCCTGTTTTCTGGTTAGATTCGATGTTCCTTTTTTCAATTTATTGTTTATAAACATACTCATTGCAAAAAGCAACACGACCGATATTGTTAATTATTCAATTCATTTAATTAATCAGTGTTTACACATTGTTAAAAATTTGTTTCGAAACTTGCGGTACACTTTTTGGAAATTTTTATCGAATCTAATTACCACCGAAATTTCAAGGAATTTCATCATTGAGAATTCAGAATTTCGTGGAGAAATCAAAAAGAGCTGTAAATTTCAGTTCCATTTTTCCCTGAAAATAAATAGAAAACCAGATAATTCCGATAAATATATTTTCAAATTTTCAGGATAGCGACACTGAATGCAATTTAGGGGGAAAAAATTCATGAAATTTCAGATTTCACTGAAAATTTTACGTAATTTGGCACTGAATATTCATCTTAGACTGTAAATTCGAATAAACTAAGGAATTCTCGTCTTTATGCTGCTTAAAATTCTAGAATTTTACAGAATTTTCAATGAAACCTGAAATTTCATATTTCCCCTAAATTACATTCAGTATAGGGTGAACTGCCCATTTACGGAACATTTAAGCCCTTTCAGAAGTTTACACAGTCATGAAATATTGAAATTTTCTCTTGAAAAATTTAAGAAAAATACTGCCTAATTCCAAATTTAGTCTATTTTCTGGGAAAAAAAGGAAGGAACCTATCACTTGATGGGAAATAATTGGAAATAATTAATAAGTACACGCACATCGAATATACCAAGGACGGAACACTTTTGCCAAGAGTGGAACATCGTCTGCCCATTTACAGAACATTGGAGGTTAGTGTGACGTTGAGAGATTAATTCCTGATGCTAAATCATATCGAGGAGGATATTAATCAGAAAATATACAATTTTGTTCAATTCCTCCCGAAATTTATATCTTTTCGGTGGATTTCCCCAACTGTCAATACAGACTGACGACCATGAGAGTATCCAGATACTTTGTCGTTGACTCGTGAATGCAATGTAGTTTTGGGGATACCATAATTAATTGATGCATTATTTAGAGAGCTGTTCCCCGATTTCACAGCCTCAATCGCTTCTTCTAGATTTTTTTTTGTGTATTTAAACCGTTGAGAGGGTTTCCTAACCTCTTCTGCCTTGGCTGATTGTTCTCCCTCCTCTTCGTGTATTTTTCGTGTGTTTTTACCTTTTGAAGCCATCTACGCGAAAAAATGAAGAAAATAAACTAATTTAGGGATACGATTCCGATTAACTTCATTAAATTATTAGTTCATTAACCGCCAATACACTTTCCACGGTATCACCGTATTCCCACTTGACATAGGTATCCACCCGTATGAGTGTTCCGTTCGTTTGGAATTGCGTGGAAAGCTAACCCTAAAGACGGAACCCCCATATATTCAATACAATAGCATTTTTCAGATGAAATTGATATGGAAATATTGCAGAATGAAGGATTTTATATCAATATCAATCACAACTTACCGCATTTTGTGATTTAAAATCTAAAAAACATCGCTTCAAAAAAAACCCGTCAAATGGCACGCGTAACTATCAATCGCCGCAAACTGGCTGCTGCCAGGATTTTTCTCCAATATTCAGCAGGAGGTAATCGATAGCCGATCAGATTTGTGATGACGTCATGAGGAGGGATATAAACTTAATTTAGAAAAAAAAATCAAATCGATAGCTTGGCCAAAATTTGAGAAATCTCGTAAAATCTGAGAAATGTTCCGTTCTTGGGTAGTGTTCGGCATATGGGTAGTTCACCCTAACTGTCCTAAAAATTAATAGTCAACTGCCATAAAATTTCATTTTTTTTCAACAATACAGACCAAATATTCAACACATACTGACGTCTAAAAAACTACTCAATGCTTCCAAAACTTGAGAATTAAAAAAAAATACAAAAAATAAAAATAAAGTGCCCATGAAATTCCCGATTATAACATTAGAAAACCTGAAAGCGTCTAAATAATTCCAGTGTGTCCACCCTCCACTGATTTCCTCCCACAAATAAAAGAAATAACCTGAAATACTACATTTTAAGCTGAAACAATAATTACAGGAGAAGGTGGATTTGGGTGAGTTGATGTTGACGCTCTGTTACTTGCCGACTGCGGGGCGTCTCACAGTGACAGTCATCAAAGCGAGAAATCTGAAAGCAATGGATATCACAGGCTCATCAGGTCAATAATTAAATTTCCCGTCTAAATAACCGATTGCTCAGTCAAACCCACCGATTCATCGACTAATGTAATAAATAACAATTACAGATCCGTACGTGAAAATATACCTTTTATGCCAGGGAAAGAGAATAAAAAAGAAAAAAACAACTGTGAAGAAGAATACACTGTTTCCAGTGTACAACGAATCCCTAGTATTTGATGTGCCAGCTGATAATGTCGAAGACGTTAGTCTCATAGTGAAAGTGATCGATTACGACAGGTAAAATGCAGTGAATGAAAATTTTTCCACAGACATATCTTCACCCAGCAATTTATCGTCCTTGTTTAATGGAAATAAATGGCTGAATAAATTTTGCAATTGGGAAGGAAAAAAATTTTCTTTTTATTCACGTAGGAAATTTTTTTCACTCTGTCTCGCAGGATTGGCTCTAACGAATTGATGGGCTGTACGGCTGTGGGCGCTAGTTTCATTGGAATTGGTAGAGATCACTGGCTTGAGATGTTGGATAATCCGAGAAAACCAGTGGCACAGTGGTATCCACTAATGGAAACAGTGGCTGGTCACATTCCAACTGTGTCCTCAGAGCCGCTTCCTGTCAGCCTGAGTTGCTTGAACAGTAGGTGAGTTAACAGGAAATTACTTCGTTAGACTGGTTTTTTGCTATCTCGTTACCTAAATCCAATTCGTCAAAACAACTTGGTAATTTAAAACACTTGAAGAAGAAAAAATTGAACAATTTAAACTCCGAAAAACTTGAAAAAGAAAACTTGGAAAAAAAACAGGAAAATAATGCAAAAAATACAAGAATAGAGCATTAATAACACTTCAATGAATTTCCACGAACGAAAATAAAAAAATGAAAAAGAACACACGCAGCGCAATATTAAATTTGCGAAGATTTTCTCCAGAGTAAACAACATTGAGTTTCAATAACAAGTGATTTGACACAAATTCATAAGTATGACAAAATAAATAACAATTATTTAAATCCACAATACTACAAAATCTAACAAATGATCAGTCATTTAAAGTACAATATTCGAAGCAATCCCTCTCAAATACTGCAGAGTAGTTCCCCCTCTCGAAAAAAAGTATATTTCAGGGCGAGTGCCATGGGATTTTTTACCCTCGTGGAGTTGGCGTCCGAGCCGAAGGCGAGGACTGGCCAATTACGCGAGTAAAAAAACCCATGGATTTTCAGTTTTACGAGTTTGGGGAAAGGTCAATACCAATCCCCGGACGAGGAAAAGAGTAGATCAGTACGGAAAATACCATTTCAATGAAATAAATGAAAAATATGTTCTTTTCACAAGGAAGAAAAATAAAACAGGTAACAAAACTCTAGAATCCCATACACAAATACAAGTTTTACTTATATTCGTACAAAAAACAAGATAACCGGAAGGTTTCGTTGACGAAAGTTCAATTTGAGAAAAGTTGAATTAACCAAAAGTTCACTTTCCCAAAGTCGATTTAACCAGGTTTTTTTGCCGTTCAGTTTTTTAGAGTTCAGTTTTGTTATTTTTGCTCCCATCGACGCCATATAGCCAAAGGAGCGTAAGTGCCAAAGACCCCTTTTTTTAAAAGAAGCTAAAAGGGCGTATATCCCGTTTCAATGAATTTTCGACTTTTCGTCCATTTCTGAACAAAAATGTATCAATAAAAAAACCTCTACCAAAGGGGCTTACGCCTGTTTGCCATTATCAGTCATAGGTCTTAAAACAAGTGGGAAATTGCTCTTATAAGTACAAATACATTTCAAAAGGTAATCGAGGGACAGAATGTTGATTTCATAAAAATTATCGTTTTCCATGTCAATTTTCTGCAAGTGTCAGTAAAAATTCGGTTCTCTTTACACAGATAACTTCCGAACCGAAACGTAATGTTTATCGATTTCGATAGAAAAATGCAATGGACTGATATAAAAAGTTACTGAGAATAACCCAGGAAATTTATCGTTCTCAAGGTAGGGTCTCGATGGAAACTCCCAAGTCAATTCCATAAAATGTCAGGAATGAAAAGGGAATATGCATCTTTTGCCTTACAGTCTTGCTTAAATGTTCATAAAAATTCCGTGACTAATCATTCCACCACACGATCGGATGAGTTGTCCCTCAATTTTTCCTGGAGTTTTCCCGCGATGTGAAGTAGCACTCATTTATTTTAGTGATTATATTCGCTGAATTTATCTAATCGATGAATTATAGGTGCATACGAACAAACATATTTTCTGAAAAAATGTAGAAAAATTTTTCTCTGCGGATATTCTCAGCAAACTGTTGAATCAGAAAATTGAAGATTCGAAAAATTTATGTAATCACCCCAAAGTCGTATAGTTTCAAATAAAAAATGGTTGATGTAGAACGTTACGATTATCTTGATTATTTTTCCCAATCGGATTTCGACCAATCAGAGCGTAGTATTTGAGGCTACCCGACAGTTTTATTTCGGATATTTCCTCCTAGCTTTTGAATATTTCGCAGTAGTTCTTCATTTTTTCGGCTCATTTCAGATAGAATCTTATATTTGACAGTCCATGGAAATCGCGTTATTCTATTAACATAATTTGTTCAAATCTGCCCCAATTCACCTCCTGATGTTGTCCACTGCACTCTGCTTGGCCAAAATCCGATTAGGAAAAATAATCCGACGAATAACCCTCGAGATTCAAAATTAATCGGGTGCTTCCCTCAAGCTCCTCTGCAAACAAACCATCGCGCCAAGTTTTACAGAAAAATCCCTCGCGCAAGCGCTCGGGATTCTTTAACCTGCAAAACTTGATACCCTCATTTGTTTGCAACGAAGCTATCGGAAAATACCCGATAATTTTGAAGCTCTTGGGGTATTACTACTGAATATTCATCGATAATGCAAATTCAAATGGATGATTTAAATCGCAAATTACCAAAAATCAATCTTCATACATTCTTAACACTCTGTTGGTTGCACAAGCAAAAATCGACATAATGATAAATTTGAAAGATCTAGGAAAAATTTGAAAAAAATCAAGAGTATTCTAGATCGTATGCTTGCATAAGTCCCGTAAGATGTCTTATGTTCAATGTCACCCTCAATTATATATTCGAGCTCAAAGTTGCCATGTTTTTCTGAAAATTCGCCTTATACACGGTACATGCGTGTATGAAAAAATCGTATAGAAATTTTCTATACGGATTGGATATAGAATTTCTATAGGATTTTCGTATATGATATTCAGATATTTCTGTACGGTTGTTTTTCATATAAATTATTTCTATACGATTTCTATAGGTTTGATACTATACGACCCACTGCTACATGTATAGAAACATTTCGTATGGAGTTGCAACATTTCTCTACGTTTTACTCTGGAGCGTTTAGACTTTTTTCGTATGAAAACAAAAATTTATGTAAAAATTTATGTATAGAAATAATTCGTATAAAAAATATTCGTTTATAATACCCCGAGAGCTTCAAAATGATCGGGTATTTCCCGAGAACTTCGTTGCATATAAACGAATATGTCAAGTTTCGCAGGTTAAAAAAATCACGAAAATAAATTTTTCCTGCAAAACTTGACGCATTTATTTGTATGCAGGGAAGTTTGAGGGAAATACTCGGATTCATTTTGAAGCTCGAGGAGTATTCGGCGGATTATTTCCCCCATCACCATTTCTATAAATAGAATCGTGGGATTCGGTGTCATCGTGGTACAATCGACAATTTTTTGTTGTTTTGCTTGCCAACGGGAAAATTACCGAACGACGGGGTATTATCGATATAATTCGCTTCTGATTGGTCCATGGGACGTCGAATACCGCGATTCTATTGTTCGGAAGGATGATGGGGGAAATAATCGTATAGAAATATCCGAATATCATATACGGAAATCCTATAGAATTTCTATACGCAATCCGTATAGAAAATTTTTATACGATTTTTTCATATGTGACGGCCCTGAGTTTCGGAATAAAAATTTGAAAATCTAACTACTTATGATATTTTTGGTGGAGATTTTCATTGATAGGGCTTCTAGACACTTCAAAATGAGATGTCAAACTCTTTCAAATTTTTCTGAGACTTTAATGCAGTGTAATTTAAAAAACCGGAAAAAATGCTGCACAGCGCCCATAGCACGATCAACGGAGCGTTAATGCAAAATGTAACGTTAAAATGTCACATATTTGTGCTATCACCTCCGGAATAGATTTGTACCTGTGAAATTCGAATTTAATAGGTACCACTTAGAGAAAGGTTACTCAAACATTTGAGAAAGAAATGTCAAAAATGAAAAACAAACCCGTACTTTCTCTTCTGTTGGAATTCTTTGAGCAGAAATGACGTTTGCGTGCACAGACTTCATAATTCACCTTGAAGAAATTTTATTAAATTTTGAGTAAATTAATTAATCCTCGACAGAGGATATCCTACGAACGGATTCCCTTCCCGGGCATTGCCATTTACGATGAACTGGGGTGATTAATCGGCTCATCTTTATCGTTTACTTCATCTTTCCCGTCAGCTTTAAAATTTGACAGAATCAATTTAAGGAAAAGGTTATTTAAGCACTTAGTGAAAGGTCAAATAAAAAAAAAACGTTGTTTCCAAAGCCCTCGTAGTTTCTTTTTTGCTGAAATTCTCTGACAAAAACGAACGGCCATGTCTCCCAAAAACTTCATATTTCATATTGAGGAATATAATTACGTGAGTGCAAACACACCGAAAGTTGACTTGAATATCCTTCCCATATCCACACCTAACGAACATCTGGGGATTCTGCTAGACTAAAAGTCCTCTGAGACCTCTGAAGAAAATTACTGTTTTGAATAAACATCGTGGGTTGAATTTGCAAGGGAATGATAATCAAGACAAGTTGCGTTAGGGTGATGAGAGACCTTGTGTTTCCGTCAAGGATTGAGGCAAAATTAATTATTAAAACGCGGTTTTCTTCAACATTCAAGGAGGGACCGATGTGAAACTTCGAAGTCTTCGGTTGATGAGAAGAGAAAATGAATTTTTTCATGATGAATTTGCGATAAGCGAGAGGATAAAATGCCTAGTTTCATCCTATGACATTTTATAGAAACATACATAAAATCAAGCGGGAAATTGCTGTCATCACAACACAGTCACTATGTTTGCTAGGGTATCTGGTGCATGTACCGCCCACCCAAGGGAAATGAGTCTTTTTTTCCAGCCTCGCACTCGTGTGACTCGTTTTGTCTCATGTTTATGACAAGGAGTCATAAACTGTTGGAATGGATTCTTCGAGGTATTTACTCGAAGATGTGAAGAGGATAGATTTTTCAGCAACATTAAACATGTTTAATTATGTAATTCAATTGCCATCGGCCAGTGAGCGATGGAATCGAACTTTGAGGGTAATACCGCCCGGCATGCGTCCAATACCGCCCACCTTGTTTTGATGATTTTTTTGAGCAAAGCAAACCAACTTATAATTTTTCCTATTTTCATCCTTCGTTTCCATTCTTCGGCTCCATTTTGAGAAAGATTTCACGTGAATAATTATAAATTATTCTGAATATACCCGATAATCCAGTGGCCACCGACTACCTCAAACAATCGAGCGGTCACTCGACCGCCGCCCTCTAGCTGCAAAGTCTAGCAGCCCTATAGGAACCCTGGGCAGCATTACCCACAAACTCTGGGCGGAATTATCCACAAACGCGGAGGCTGATAAAATAGCCAATAATAACTGATGAAGATATTTTTCTGCTATCGAAAAGGTCGCAATTGATGAGGAAATGTATAACGAACATATATTTCGCACTCCATTCAATTATGGGCCAACTGGAAATTTGAAAAATCTTAAATTCTGGGGTCGAAATATTGTAAGAATTCGGTAGAAAATGATTTGGATTCAAGCCAATCGTCAGAAATACGACGGGCGGTAGTACAGTGGGCAGTACAGGCATCAGCTACCCTAATACATTAGCAATTTGTTTTCGAATAGAATTTCAATGACGATGTATTGTCAATTAAATTCAATTAGTCATTGAATTCAACGCAATGTAATCAATCTCATGCGCGAACTCGAAAAATAATTTAAAAAATATGGATTATATTAGTTGAGATATAAAATCAAAAAAACAAATATTGTTATCGGAACATAAAAAAAAATCAAACATGAAGGTTAAAACTTTCAAGTTTACGTCAAGTTTACATTTCTGAGAGCTCTAACAAATACCAAGAACTCTCAGCTGAACTCACTTTGCTGTAAATTATAACATTAATATGATATCCACTTCAACTCAGCCAATTCTTCCAATCGAATTGAAATAAAATTCCATTGAATTTTCAATCATTTCTAATGGTGAAAACGCTTGAAACTTCAAACCTCAAGTTTCATTATATTTTCAATAATTCCTGACGGCGAAGTCCCCTGACATTTCGCTTGTCAATTACCCAAAAATCCAAATTACTATCTTCAAATTAGTCCAATTAATTGCTCCCTCAATTCCTTGAATTCATCCTCCATGAAACTTAGTAACATCTCATAACAAATACCAAGAACTCTCAGCTTCATTGTGACAGAATCCAGGGACTTTCAAATTTCCCAACAGTCTCTCCTTAATGTGCAAATTCAACACCGAATTATTATTTCAATCACATAGGAATGAAGTTTCATTGAATTTTCAATGATTTAACCATTCCCCGATGCAGGTAATCCCCTGAAATTCCGTATAACAATCCCTTATAAATACAATTTATTCTCTTCAAATTAGTGCAATTAATTGCTTCCTCAATTCCTAGAGTCCATCCTCCATGAAGTTGAGTAACATATTATAACAAATACCACGAACACTCAGCTTCATTCTGACAGAATCCAGGGACTTTCAAATTTCCCAACGGTCTCCCTTTCATGTGAAAATTCTCCATCAAATTGAACTCAATTTGCATTAGATTATACCCTCAATATGATAGTCACTTTAATGCTACGAATTCTTCCAATCGAATTGAAACAGAATTTCATTAATTTTTTTCATGCACTGACAGAAAAACAGACTGGTTCTCAAACAAGTCTTAATTGGGCCAACAAAATCGTTAGTTGAAAATTACCAGAAAAATAATTGTTTGATTCGATTTTAAAAGTCTCAAGCATGAATAATTGCTCTGCTTTCAAAATAACAACGAGATATTTAGCTCAAGAGGCTGTTCATTTTTACAAGACGATGCCTTTTCAGGATGAAAATATCTTTTATAGAGAGAAGTTTATCAAGAAATATATTGTCCCTAAGTTACAAGATTGCTGTCATATCAATGTTATTATTTAATTTAAGAATGAATTTATTGTCTGCAGTAGAATCACCTTGAATCAAGCCGAAAAATCGACTTCAATCAAGCCGTAAATCTTGAATCAAACCAAAAAATCGAAGAATCGACTCGAATTAATTTAAATTTCGGCTTGATTCAAGTTCATTTTTCGGATTGATTCACCGCCCCGCGTATAATTCTCTAGAATCACCTTGAATCAAGCCAAAAAATCGACTTAAATCACGCCGAAGAATCGACTCGAATTAAGTCAAATTTTGGCTTGATTCAAGTTTATTTTTCGGGTTAATTCACCGGCCCATGTATAACTCAACTTCAATCAAATCAAAAAATCTACTTCAATGAAACCGGAAATCGGCTCCAATCAAGCCGAAAATTTACTTAAATCAAGCCGAAGAATCGACTTGGATCGAACCGAAAAATCTGCTTGAATCAAAACGTGAAATCAACGTGAATCAAACCGAAGAATCGACTCGAATTAAGCCAAAAAAACCGACTTGAATCAAACCGAAAAATCTACTTGAGTCAAACCGAAAAATCGACTTGAATTAAATCGAAGAATCGACTTGAATCAAATCGAAAAATCTACTTGAATCAAATCGAAGATCGACTCGATTCGAAGTCGATTTCTCCTTGATACATTTCCTCCTGAAATAATCCACTTTTCTGCTTGTATCAGATCCGAAATTTGGTTTGATGAAGTTCAAATCACTCAACTTGTATCAAGCCGACGTCGACTTGAATCAGTACATTTTTATTGGGTGAACCTTTCATGAATTCCCGGAAAAACGGGCATCTCAAATTATATAAAGTCCAATTAATTGTCCCCCGATTTCTTCAATTCATCCTCTATAAAACTGAATGATAACATCTCATAATAAAATATTAATTACAGATGAAATTGGGGCCATTGAAGCCGCTAATTGGCGGAGGCTCGCCACTAACGTTGTGTACGTGAAACTTTCGAGGAAGCAAAAACTCGTCCCCACCTGTAATTCTATGCACAAGCTTGGACTGACGTTGAGAAAATGAAAACCACAAAGCTCTTTCTCTCTCCAGAGAAAAAAGGAAACATCATCCCCCTCATTTCCACACCTCATCCCTTCCTATCCCGTTTCCCATTTAGTTCTCCACAATACTTGGTGCCATGCCTGGCTGACAGGCGTGGTACAGTTAACATAAAAGATAAAAGCCTTAGACACTCGTGCATAATGAAAAGACGCTGAAAATATTACACAGGGAACTTGTGACAGCCGCGTGGCGCAGAACTCCAACTATATTTTTAAAAAATAACACGAGACAATATTTTCCAATTTATTGCCTCGTTATTTGTTCGATATAATAAATACTCTCGATGTGAGTTTAAAAAAAAATAAAAAAGGAAATATGAATGATGAAAGTTGTAACGATTTGAATTTTCCGATGGAAAGGAGCCCCTGGAGGATGGAAAGATGACAAATACAATATTTCTTGTACAATCCCGCACGCAGTATTATACTAGAGATGCAGAAAGGCCTTATTTTTGGAATAGAACGAACGGAATAGAACGAATGATGAAAAAATATTAGAAAATACCTTGATGATATATACCATACCAGGTGGAATATTACCATTGAAAATTGGAGAAATATAGATAGAATTAGTCATTAGTTTTGTGTACTACGTAGTTGTAATTTAAGAATATACGAGTGAGAGGTCCTGGAATGGAATGAATTTGAGAGCTGGTGGCTTTTTGGAATGTGTACAGAATTCGGCGAAATCGATTATAGTCATCGTTTTTCGCGCTTTTTAACATGTCTCATCATATATCAAACGTCTCCTTCTCCAACGAAAACTTTGAGATTCACCGCGGTCTCCCCAAATTAGAGGTGGAAACTGGCGCCTTCAATATTTTTTTCTCCATAATCGATGTTCATTAGGGAGTAATCGTGCTAAATGTTGGCGATTACTGCCAATATTTAGCACGATTATTTCTATTGAGTTGTTTCAAATAATTGAGAATTATTGCAGAATAAAATATAAAAAAGCATTTCTCTTCAAATTTAACTCCGCTAAAAAGAAGGTCTCTCGACATCTCCTGAAATCACTTGCTATCGACAGAAATTCATCGTCAATAAACATGTTGACTTTATTCCGGAAATAACTAACTCCAGTTTTCAATTAATGCGCTTAATTCGTAGCAGCAATGATGCAGGTGTTGATTGCCGTTCAAGGCAATGTATAAATCTATTGATTGCTGTCCAACAAATATTTATATGTTCGTTACAACGCAAATCATCGATTTCTGCAAATATTCAGCTTAATTATTTAGAATGATTTTTAATTTTTTTCATACTCTGCAATTTTGATTTCATTAATTTTCTTCATTTTTATATAATCGATTAATTAGTGAATAGCGTGAGATTTTTTCCTCGAAGTTACTACCAAAATTGAATAGTTTCTAGTGAATTTTCTTCTATTAGGAAATTGGATTCAAAAAGTCGAGGGACTTTTTTCGGTTGACAAATAAATTTGCCCACATTTCATTGAATTGTTAAAAAAAAAACGCCAAATTTATTCGGAAATAAATAACCACCTTTTCTACGGAGAGGTTCCCTTTGACAAAAAAAAAATTCGTTTTTCGAAGAACAATTTTCAAAAATGTTATTTCTTGCATCATTTTTTTCAGAATTCAATTTTGTAGGCTAAAATTATTTTGGATCACTCGAAACTAGAGTTTTGAATCTTTCATACAGAATAGTTTTCTGAATATAATCATCCAATTTTTATTTCATTAATATTTTTCGTTTTTATGTAATCAATTGATCAGTGAACAGAGTGATATTTAAAGACGTAACGACATAATTTGTTTCCCCGAAGTTATGTCACTACCAAAATTGTATAGTTTCTAGGGAAATTTCTCATATTAGGAAATTGGATTAAATAAATTGAGGGACTTTTTTCGGTAGAAAAAAAAATTGCCCATATTTCCTTGAATTGTTAAAAAACGCGTCAAATTTATTCCGAAATAAATAATCAATTCATTTTTGAAGGGAAAATTTTCAAAAATACTATTTTTGCAGGATTTTTCCTCAGGAATTCAACTTTGTAGGAGAAAATTATTTCAGATCGCTCAAAATTTAAGTTTTGAATCTTTCACACAGAATAGTTTTCTGAATATGATCGTCGATTTGGGCCCTTCAACTATGAAAAAATGCGGGAGAAAATGCATTTTGAAATTTATTCGTTCAGCAAAATTTCTATGGACATCCCAAAGAAATGACTCAACAAAAAAATGAGATAAATTCCGCAGCAATTGGCAATGGCAAAAATCCATAATTAATCCGTGAATTTTTTCAAATTCATTCACAACTAGGGACTTACTCACTCGTATCTCCTAAGCCCGTAGACCAATATATTCCATCTATGATATAAGAAAAATCTATAAAAAGTAACTAGCATTTTTATTAAGATAAAAAATCGAGCTGTTGAGGGAATAAAAAGTATTCCCCCATTCAAAATGTGGGATATGAAAAATAGTGGGAAACACAGGTGAAGAATGAACACAGATGAGATATGATGAATGCTTGATGGATCGCAGTGTAGTCAATAATCCAGACAGAAACATAACTGTTACTCTTTCATGCTGGTTTTTTGAGAAAAGAGGCATTAATCTTGATGCGTCTGATAAATGCATTTAACAGAAACAAAAAAAGTAATATATATGCATGAAAATATATGCCAATACGTATTTTATGTATGTCATACGTGAAAGCCCTGGTGGCCCTATTTGTGATAATGTACGGACACGAAAATAATAGTTTTAGATATTCGAGTTGAGTTGAGTTGAGAATGTATCATAACCCGAAGGAACAATAGGATTTATAATATAATGTTGAAGCCACACTGAGTGAGATTACCGAGAAAATAAATTTAACATCTTTTCGTTTCGGGGGAAATACTGCTGTTGTATCCCATTACTCCGCTTAAAGCATCATCAGAATATAATGTGGAAGATAACTGAATATGCTGGTAAACTCAAATATTTGATTGTGAACACGATAACAATAATATGATACATATGGTAAATACGTATAATATGATATTTTAGGGGTTTATGAAACATGATATGTATAGGATGGAAATTATTTCAGGTGGATTTATGGAGGTGTGGTTTATCTTGTTATGTGAGTTGTTATGATAATTTTCAGCGTATTGATTTCCATCGCAGTTTATACTTTTCTATTATACGGATTTTTACAGGAAATTCCATTATGATTTTTAACCCTAGATTGGTCACCACATGAGGGAAACGCCGCAGTGCGTCAATCGTTTTTCGTTAACCCCTCAAGTACGGCACCCATCACGCACGAAAAAAATTAATAGAAAAACTTATCGAATTTGTTAGAATATTCTATTAAATTTCTATTAAACTTTCTATTAGTTTTTGGCTGATTCTATTGACATGTTCAATAGAAAAAGTCAACAGAATTCGATTTTTCTATGTAACTTATTCTTTTCATATATTTTCTATAGAATTTGGTCGACTCAAATTTTCTAAATTTTTCATTCTATTTTTCTTTTCTTCTCATTAAGAAAATCAAACGAAAAAACTTAGAAAATTTGAGCCGAGGAAATTCTATAGAAAATATCTCAATAGAATAAGTTATACAGAAAAATTGAATTCTATTGACTTTTTCTACTGATTACTTTAGGTAATCGGATCTGGCCTTCCCTGGGTCAATCAGAGTTCAGTATTCAATAACACGAAGTACTTTCCAATTAAAATGACAGCGGTTATTTCCCCCTAGCTTTTGATAATTTCCCTCTAGCTCTGCAATTGTTTCTCTAACCAAATAACTGTCAAATATTATCCTGTGGAGTGAAAGAAAGTCATCAGAAAGTCAAAATGAATCGGTTTGGGAAGGATCCGATTACCAAAAATAATCCGTCGAATACCACTCGACCTCCAAAATTAATGGAACATTTCCCTCATGTTTTCCTGCGTATCAACGATCGGGATAAGTTTTGCACAAAAATCCCTCGCGCTGCGCGCTCGTGATTTTAATCTGCAAAACTTCTCCCTCGTTGCTACGCAACAAAACAATCGGGAAATATCGGATAATTTTGGAGGTCTCGTGGTATTACCACTGAATATTTTCTATTGAACATTTCAATAGAATCGGCCAAAAACTAATAGAACAGTTGAATAGAAATTCAATAGAATTTTCTAACGAATTCGATAGGTTTTTCTATTAAATTTTTTCGTCCGTGATATCACGCGATGTCCTCATCGGCCTGCAGCCTCCCGCACGGAGAGAAATGTTCAGTGAAAATTACGGAACTCACAGGAGATTCAGATAAAAATTACGGAACTCTCTGGAAAATTTCCGTGACAGTGCCGTAAAATTTCCTACAATCACATTGCGCTCCGGAAGTACGGAAAAGACACGTAATTTTTATTGAATATTTCTCTCCGTGCGTCTATTCAAATTCGCTGGTCAATACGCGACAATTTCTATCATCTAAAATTCAATGATAATCTTGAGCTTTCACCAATAAGTAGTTCAATTACGGCATTCCTTTATACCGATTGTTCTGGAATTTTTAAGACCAAGTTCGATAGTAGAAACCGTTGCCAAGATCGGCGTCTATCGGAAATTTGTTAATAACAAATCAGTAATTCATTGAATCTAAATTTCGTTTACGCCATTCGACAAAGGAATGTGTAAAGTATGTTCGGTAAAAATTTCAGAATTTTTAATGAAAATTAGCTGGATAAATGAGAGGTTTGAATATGCATCTGACATTGAATTCAGTTCCGTATTATTTATGTATTGAAGAAAAATATTGAAAATTACTTGAAAAAAAATTGAATCGCATCGTGTTGATAATCCATTTCATGGGAAAATTTTTAGAATTTCGACATCTACGATAGTACGAAAGATGATGAGTTTTTATTAATCACGGAACGGGTCTAAATGACATAGATGCCGGCCGGCAGGACAAGCTCTCGGGTCTACATGTGCCATG